TTTTGTTTGCTTTTTGTTTTTTGTGTTTTGGGGCGTTTTTAATTTTTTCTTTGGTCCCCCCCCCCCCATTCCTTAAAAGTCGCCAACTATATTCTTGAAAGTTTTTTCTTTTGTCTCTGTCACAGTCAGCAGCAGCATGTTGACTTCGCAACCCTCCTTGCCATTCAGTCGTTGTTTTAAACCAGGGCACAGCCAAGCGTTCCCCCCCATCCGGATGATCACAGTCATCAGTTCATGAGGAAATCAGTTTGACAAAGGCTATAGCCCCCTCAAGTGTCCAAAGTAAGAAATCAGAACCGTCTCCGTGGCGTTTCTCACTCCCTCTCTCCCCTCTCAGAGAGGACTCCTTCCTCCTTGTAGTCCCTCGACCGTCCATGTCACGTGGTTCAGGAATAGCATGTTGTCAACCAGGCTCCCCATTTCTGTCAGTACTACCTTGTATTCGCTTTTTGGTGCCTTTTAAAAGTGCGGTTTAAGCCCAGAATGGCTTTGTTGGATGTGCGAATTTGAAACCGTGGCCTACATTCGGAAAGCAGAAGTTCTAATTGAAGGTTTTACACAACCTTTAACCACCCGAGCAAGGAGACATCCGCCAAGCACGACACAAACGATCTGCTTCTATTTAGACATATTACCGCATTAACTTGATGTTAACTCATTCATGTACAATTTTAAAACGGCGTACCTGCATTTTCCACCCATCCGTTTTCTCTTCGGCTTATTCTAACAAGCATTGTGGTGGGCCTGCCGATGCCACCTGACTTCGGGCTGACCGGCCATTAGCCAATCACAGGGACCTGTATTTTGTTTGACGATTTTTTATTTATTTACAATAAACCGATTATTATGTCAGATTAACAAAGGGCAAACAAGAATCAATACTTGTAAATCTGCAAACTTTTACTTTTGTAATTAGTTAATATTATAAACAGCCAACAGAGGGCGCTGCTGTGTCAGGCAACAGTGGCAGCGAGAACAAAACGGGGGGGAGAGGCGAGAAAGAGAGATCGACAATGCCGCTCATGTTAAAGATGTGCAACAAACTCTAGTTTAGTTAATAATCACTTCAAATAAATTGGTGGTGGGTTCTTGGTATGATTAAATAAAAGGGACAATGCACACAAGCTTTATGGCGTGAATGTGAATATCATTTCATCTTATGACTTGAAGGGAGTTGTTGAAAACGTTTGATGTTATTGTGATGAAGGCGTGTAAGAGTGACCTTGGCGCAGCAAAGGGAATTAAGAACAGATTCTCATTTATAAAACTGGAGAAATACAAAGCAAACATAAAAGCAGAGACAAACTGCACAATGTGAAAGAGTTCCATATTTATGTGATGCCTTTCAGATATTTTTGTATTTATCTGTCGCTCTGACATCTGCAGTCCTCAAACGTGGACCAGTGATTTTATGTGAATGGTTAAAAAAAAAGGGGCCACTTAATGAGGATTAGTGCATTTTCCTGCCTCTCTGTGAAGCATTCAGTTGTTTTTGGTATACAAAAAGCATGAACGGCTTTGAAAAACGACTGCTCAAGACACGCGTGATCACAGTGACACGAAGCATTACTACAAGTGACGTTCAGCGAAGAAAACACGTTATTTTATTGATTTACTTTGACATGAACAACACTTGAAATTGATTCTAGAGTACGTTGAGCTTACAGGAGCCAGGCTGCAGTATGCGCAGGGTGACAATGTGCTTGATTGCTCTTCTAAACCAGGGGTAGAACAAAGCGTATATCAAGGGATTCACACACGAGTTGAAATAGTACAGGTAGATGACGCACACTTGAAGGGTGTGATTGCGTAAGGAATCACGTGCGAGAAACACACCGTAATACGGACAGAAGCACAGGAGAAACACGACAACGAGAACACCCAGACTCCTGGCGGCCTTCAACTCGGATTTCTTTACCCGGAAAGGCGGCGAGTGTTTGAGTTTGCCGCGTGGAGCGTGCAAGCGCATGGCTCTCGCCTGAGACACAGCAACCACAAACACTTTGGTGTACAGCATGACGACGCTGCAGAGCGGAAAGAGGAAAGACACCACCAGGTCAACGACTCCTGTCGTGAAGTCAAACACGATGACGCACTCCCCATAGCAGGAATGATACTTTCCCGGCTGCATCAGCTGATCGTAATAAATGACGCCCGAGTAGGAAAGAGATGAGAACCAACACAGACAAACACAAAGTTGAACTCTTTTCACAGTCACTCTGATGTTATAATGCAGAGGGTCACAGATGGCCACGTATCGGTCAACCGATATCAGCACGATGTTTCCGACCGACGTGGACGTCACTGTTAAGACGTAATACACAAACAGAGAGCACAGACGATCGCCAAGAGACCAGCAGGATGTCGCCCTGCGAACTGCCATCGGGATCAACTGGAGACCCACCAGATAGTCGGTGACGGCGAGAGAGAGGAGCAGGAGGTTGGTGGGGGTGTGGAGCTGCCTACACACACACACACAACACAGACACATGAATCAACAAGCTGTTAAAGACACAACACTTCAAAACCGACATCTGTAGGCGGAATACGGCATCCTGCACAAACTAGTATTCGGATCAAGAACCGAGACTTTAAAAAATAAAATAAAAAACGCATGCCTGAAATGGGAGATTGCGGTGATGACCAGCAGGTTGAGCACCACAGTGAGGATGGAGATGCTCAATAGTGGAACGAGGTAAAAAACAACCGGGCCGGGCGACTTTCTGCAGGAGATGTTCGCCAGCTCTGGAAAGCAAAGATCTGATTGGTTCTGGGTTTCCATGGAGAAGCTGGAGCTCAGACAGCCTCCTGTCTCAACCTCGCTGTCGGCCAGCTCCTTAAAACGCTTCTAGGACCTCCCCCAATCAATTGTGATTGGGTCAAAGTTGTCTAAGTATGATGTCATGAGGAGCACCATACCCAACATACTGCTAACAATCAACAGTTAATAGGCAACACAGATTCGGTCTTACACCCTCAAACGTTTCCATTCCCAAATTGTTGTACAAGCAAAAGGCCCACCTAGCGTTTGGGTAGGCTTTGGCCACGGTTCTGGTTCTGATTGAAGATGGGGCAAACAGAAGATAGCAAACAGCCATAATGGACCCTAACATGGACGAAAGTGAAAAATAAAGTGCGCGGATGCAAGAGTTTGTGAAAAGGAAATCGCCGCCTACCTTTGTCGGAGACGTGACGAGCAGAGGCAGTGGCACACTTCGTAGCGTGCTAAGAAACAACACGACCGTCGCTTGCGTGCACCGTTTTAAAATGCTGCTCCTGGCGCTCCTGGCTCCCATTCTTAGACAATCCCATCGTTAAATTTCAAATCAAACGAACTTTGAGAATATTAAAAGGACAAGCTCCGGAGCTGCTTGCGGCCCTTTAGCGCCGCCCTAGTGGCTCCCTGGAGCTTTTTAAAAATGTTTGAAAATGGGAAAAATAGGGGAGTGAAAATATATTTTTTGTTTGAATATGGTTTCTGTAGGAGGACAAACCTTCTTAACATTTTCCAATGCTGCAAAAATGCGTCGAACAAATATTACATTTCAACATTTCTATCAACGGAGATTTGCGTCATAGCCTGCGACACACGTTTTGCAAGGCGGGATGCCAGGCAGGTGGCTGTTGGAAGAAGAAAAGGCGTTTCATGTCCAATTCACCGAGGGAACTGGCAAAGAATGGCAATTTATAGGGCCGAAAGAAGCATTTTAAAACGGTAAACGTCAGCTACGAAAGTTAACACGCCTCGTTCATCTCAGGGGCTGTTATGGCGGTTGCGCTTTATGGCACGTGTGTGTAAGTGCGCGCGTGTGCGGTGATGGATCGATCGTGGGAGGCCGGTTGATCGCAAAATAGAGCTTTGGTCAAAAAAGGTTGGGCCCCCCTGCGCTACAGGATGCACTTCAGGGAAAAAAAAAACAAAAAACGTTTAACCAGGAAGGCTCACTGTGCATTTGTAGCCAACGTCGTCATTTTGATAGTAGGCTAATACAGTATAGCTCATATAGATACATACAGTGGGTGTTGCCTTCTTTCTAAGGTTTTTAATTTGTTGCGGCGCCAGACACATTTGTTTTTCGTTTTTTTTTTGGTCCAAGATGGCTCTTAAAACTTTTTGGGTTGCCGACCCCTGCCATAGGTTCAAGGTGATCTACTTTATTTTATTTTACTCTACATTTTTTTGCGAAAGTTAAACGGAAAGGTAGCTTAGGGTGCAGTGTACAGTTACACCTAAATACACAATACTAATAACATGCACACAAAGACACAAATCTTTTTATTTTTTGTATTTCTCTCGACGCCTTGCAGTCAACTTGGAACAATAACACTAAAATACACAATACTAATAACGCACACAAAGACACAAATCTTTTTTTTTTTTTTTTTTAATTTCTCTCTTGACACCTCGCGGTCAACTTGGAATCAGTCCGCAGACTATCATAGCCATATACATATAAATATATACATATATAGTACATACGTCTTTTCACTATATACACAAATTGTATATCTAACAGATTGTAAAAGTGACTTTGCGTGTTCCAAATATCCGAATTTATGACTGTTCCTTTTTGCTCTTGATATAGGGCAGGGGTGGCAAACCAGCCAGAGACGAAGAGCCAGTTTTTTTTTTTTTACTGTGTTATTGCAAAGAGCCACATCATGCACACATAAGCATCACCCTTCCTCAGTGCACACGATATTCATTGTTGAAAATGAGCGGCCCGTGGTCTTAGTACTGTAGGAGTCCATTTCTGTCATTCGCATGTTGGTGTGTGACATTTACAAGAAATGTGGCTGAGTAGAGGTGTGTGTGTGTGTGTGTGTGTGCATTTAATACACAAGGGTAACTCACTGCGCTTCATATCATTACAAGTGCAACATTTAAAAATGTTTCAAACGAAAGGCTCAGGCACATTCAAAAGCAAAATTCAGAAATGAAAAGTACGGGTTACTCAAATTACCACGACAACAACAACAAAACCATCAGCGCATTTAAATGCGAGTCTAGAGTATGTTGTTGGCCTCGCGGGAGCCAGGCCGCAGAATGCGCAGGGTGACAACGTGCTTGGCGGCTCTTCGAAACCAGGGGTAGAACAAGGCGTAGATCAAGGGGTTCACGCACGAGTTGAAGTCAAACAAATAAAGAACATATTTGCCCACTGAAGCCGCAGTCCTGTTGTCAGCCACCAGATTGACAATGTAGTACGGACAGAAACATACCAGAAAGACCAGAACGAGGACCCCAAGAGTCCTGGCCGCCTTAATTTCGGAGGTCTTTGCTCTGAAAGGGCCGCGACGTTGTAATTTGAGACATTTAACATGAGAACGCATGGCTCGCGCCTGAGACACAGCGACCACAAACACTCTCATGTACAGCGTGATGATGACGCCGAGAGGAAGGACGAAGCACATGACCAGGTCCAGAACGCCTGCGTAAAACTCAAAACCGATGAGGCACTCTCCCAGGCAGGAGTTATACATCCCGGGGTGAGCCAACTGGTCCATCAAAACGATGCCACAGTGGATAATGGCGCCCAGCCAACAGAGACAAACGCAAAGTTGAACTCTTTTCACGGTGACTTTGACGTTATAATGCAGGGGATCGCAAATCGCCACGTAACGGTCGGCCGATATCAGCACCATGTTTCCCACCGAGGCCGCCGAAGAAATGAAAATCATGTAGTTCCACAGGGAACACATCACGTCACCCAGAAACCAACAGGACGCGTTCCGGTAGATCTCGTTCGGCATCGACACCGAGCCCACCAGAAAGTCGGAGACGGCGAGGGAGAGGAGGACCAGGTTGGTGGGGGTGTGGAGCTGCCTGCGCACCAAGACAAAAAAAAAAAAAGAGAGAGAGAGAAGAAAGAAAAAAAAACATCATTGATACACACAACGCAGTGTCAAAACCATTTTCCTGGCAAACGCGAGCATCGTCATTGAACGCCGTGACACAAACACCGCAAAAACCTCGCGAGGACCGTCAAACACCCGAGCGTGACAGAAAAAGGAACTTGTGCCTGAAGTGGGAGATTGAAATGATGACAAGCAAGTTGAGCAGCACGGTGGCGACGCATTCGACGGGCAGCAGGACTCCGAAAAGAACGCCTTCCGACCCCTCGGACGAAGACTTCCCGCAGGAGATGTTGGGCAGATGCGGGAAACAGAGATGCGATCGGTCTTCGGGCTCCATGGGGAAGCCGGAGCTCAGACAGACTTCTGGCTCAACCTCTCTGTGGCGCATCTCCTTTATGGGTTCTTGTACCTCCCCCGCAAGCAAATGCCACTGGGTCAAAGTTGTCCATATATGACGTCACGATGAGCGTTCATTGGCCACGCGAGTAAACAGCGACGTGTGCGCTTATCAAATGTTACATCAGCCTAAAATATTGTCGCCCCCTGACTGTTGTTAATTAACCCTCGCGCTAGTGTCTACGTTGTGTTCAACCCTTTCATGGCCCCTGTCACCTGATCACATGATAAGCTGCCCGCTGTCGTGACCGCTGTCCCCGTCAGGGTGAAAAGTTGTCCCTCATTTTTGTTCGGATCGACCAAACATTCCATGTCACCAGGGCGACCCCACAAAATATTCCGTCGGGTGACGTCACATTTTTGTCTTCAGCTGCTCTTGACCGAGTCCACTTTACACACTGTGGTAAGGACACAAAAGTACCAAGTTGGAATTTGCTAACCTGGAAAGATATCAACAATCGGAAAATTCCACATCAAGGGTGACTGACAACTTGGGACACAAGCGCAGGTTGTTGTTCGCAACACAAACTGACGGTGACCACAGAAATTTGGTGTCACTCATTTAGAACCCAAGTCCAACCTTGGAGCCTGTTCCAGCTGTCTTCGGGGCAATAGGCGGGGGACACCCTGAACCGGTTGCCAGCCAATCGCAGGGCACACAGAGACGAACAACCATCCGCGCTCACACTCACACCGAAGGACAATTTGGAGCGTTCATTCAGCCTGCCATGCATGTTTTTACAATGTGGGAGGAAACCGGAGTACCCGCAGAAAACCCACGCAGGCCCAGGGAGAACATGTAAACTCCACACAGGGAGGCCGGAGCTGGAATTGAACCCGGTACCTCTGCAGTGTGAGGTCGACGCGCTAACCACTGGACCAACCAAACGGAACCCAATCTGTTGAAAATCTACAGCTACCTCATGTGTGGGTTCGGAAAACAAGTAGCTTTTTTTAGGGTGTTTAGGCCTCAGGGTTAGGGGCCAGAGAATGTTGAAACACTTCAAGGAGTTATTTGGCTTCACAGGAGCCAGTTTCAAGAAATGAGGCAATAACAAAAGTAAGATCCTCCAAGTCTTACTGGACGGACATCACGAACGGACTCCCTGCCTCCACGAAAAGTAGTCGCAAAGGTCAGTTTGTCAGTGTCCGCTTGATGACAAACAACAAGATTGTTGTCTGTGTCTTCGCTGGGAGAAACGCAAGGATCGGCTCCCGTCTTTCGGTGTTGTCTTCACACCTCTAATTGCAAGCCGCTGTCGTCATCATCATCATCATCATCGCACACTAATGGGCCAAGGTGTGAACCGGCAACAAAAAAACATGGACGCCAGTCACCCAAGAGGGTGTCCTCCGGGGACACGTAAGGCACAACAACTGTTACGTATGAAGAGATGTTTGACACTGAACTTGGACTAAAGTATCCAACAAAAGTTTTCCAGCTTGGAAGTACTTCCAAATGTTTGTTTCCTTTGGAAACCGCATACCTGAAAATACCTGCGTTCTAGATTTGAATTTCACTCAATCTGACCAAGTCTCATCTCGTCCCATAGTCAATGAGTGAAACAAATCCAATTGTGTAATAAAGAAAAAAAAAATCAAACCTAACCCTGTAAAACCCTATCCTTAACCCTGTGTATGAAAAAAAAATTATATATATCTCGCTTTGGGCTCCACCACATCAATGCAGTGAATAGAAAATGCTATTTGCTCGGCCCCGGACCGACATCGGCCCTCAGAATCATTTTTATGTCCACTGCCACTCTTCTAAAGTCCTTGTTCCTGATGCAATCCTTCCATTTAGACTTGGCACCGGAAAGCATCAGTGGCAGGGTATTGGGCCATCGGCTGGGAATCAAACCTAACCCTGTAAAACCCTATCCTTAACCACAGTGGGAACCTACCACACTATCCCCCTAAAACTAAAACCAGGGCATCAAGGAGAACCTCAATCACCATGATCCTAATCCTGTCTGGATTTGAACCCATCTAATTCAACATCATGTGGCCGGACCCTCACTCCTAAGCCCTCTTTAACGCTAACCGTTAACTGTAGTCCCAAACGCTCCCCTTCACCCTATGTGGGACTTCTTGCTGGGTTTTGGTTTTTGTAACTCGACTTCGAGTTTTGTGTGTGGGGATAGAGCAGGGGTGTCAAACTCATTGCTGTCGTGGGCCACATTGTAATTACGGTTTCCCCTGGAGGGCCGTTGTGAATTTTGGGAAACCACATAAATGCTTAATCACCTCCACCTGTTACATGCACAGCGCACAACAAATTGATGGATAACTAGTTTTCAAATCAGAAGTCAAAAATAATGACTGTTATTGTGGATTACATATGACAATTTGAAATTTTGGTTCAGACTTTAGCAAGCATCATGGAACTTGACATGCTTGATTTGCTTTCGCGGACCACATAAAATTATGTGACGGGCCAGATCTGGCCCCCCGTGCCTTGACTTTGACACCCATGTGATCTTCAGTTGGACGCTATGACGACCACTGATATCAGACCTTGTTTAGATGGTGAAACAGTGAAGGAACATCGTCGTGTGTCGCTACCATGTCTCTTCTGTAGTCAGAGTAATTTTTCCCAGCTTCAAGCAGGACGTTTTCAGACGGAAGTGGCCGCTGAGCTTAGCGTCAGGCGTGTCATCGGCAGGTTGCAAGAGAGATCGGGAGACTGGAAGAGTCACAGAAAGATGCCACTTTCCCAGGCTGACGCCCGCTACATTGTGAACAATGCCCCGAGAAACCGGATGATGAATGCCACTCAAAAGGGAGGTGAGAAGCACTCAAGTGTCACGACTTTTGTTTCAATGAATTGTTTGAGATGAGCAAATCAGTAGCGTGAACTTGTTACATTTTCCATAAATTACACCTGAAAGCCAAACATGCCAAACTTTTTTGTGAGTAGTGTATCTAAGTAGCTCCTCACCGTGGTCCCTTTTCAGTCAGAATTGTTCTCCTGTCACTGATGTCTGACACTGTATCGCCCCCTGTTGGCGGTTAATGTAATCACATTAACTCAAAAGCAGAGGAAAAAAAATGACCACGTGTATAGAATGATTAAGTGTGTCCAAAATGAAATTTCACACCAACAAACTACTTAACTGTAATTATATATTTTCCCCCCTTTAAAATGGGCCAATTGTATCTGGGGGATGTTTAATTGTCAAGACAGTTCTGTAACAAAAATACAACCACAACACAGCCAAGCATATTAAATTTCATAACTTAAAAACAACTAACCTGTCACAACTTTTATATATTTTGACATGGGTCAATTTGACCCAAAAAATAAGAGGACAGTTATTAAATATTAGTACATGGGCGTGATCAAAAAAGGGTAAGGTGGATGTCCCTATTTTGTGGCCTGGACTGTGCAAGAGATGATGGGAAACGATGACGGTGGTCACCGCCGCATGTCTTTGTCCAGAAGGTCTTTGGCCTCGTTGATTTTGGCGGCGAGATACGGTGAACCTCCTGTGGAAAAACACATCAAACTCAGCTTGCTGATGCGAATCCAACGAGGACTTTAGACGAAGGGACGCTGACCTTTATCGGGATGGTTGAGGACCATGATCCTCCTGTGTGCCTCGCGTACTTTGGCCTTTGCACTGACTGGACTGCAGTCACAAATAAAAATGGATCAAATAAGTTCACCGCCATTGAAATCCATATGTGGTGGTTTACCTGATGCCAAGGACGAGGCTGGCCTCCCGCTTGGACATCTTCTGCTCGAAGCCTCCTTTGTAGTACGACGAGAATGCCTGAGGAGGATGCGGGCAGATGAGCAGGGCCAGCTGCGTGTAATTTAATAAGCGGCGAGTGGAAAGTGAACTCACAGATGTCGGCATCTTGCGCACCGTTTCCGAGAACATCTGGCCAAGGGGCTTCCACAGCTGGAAGGCGTAGCGACCTGGCACATCAAAAACATTGGAGGAAAATCAGATGAAAGCAAAAAGTGGATTTTATTAACTCAATTCTAAAATTATTACTAATTATGACCCATAAGCGTGCATTTAAGCATTTAAGTTTTTACCTGCAAAACCGGCAGCAGCCACCCCAAGGCCGACTGCAATCAGCGTACCACCCTGTGGACAACATACATTGTTTTCACTCTTGTACTTTATTACAATTATAATATTTAATTTTAGATAGAATATCGTCTCTTTTAGAACATAAAACATAATGCACAGGTATGATGTAACGTATGTAGCTTTAGCGAACAGCTAACCAAAGAGCTACCTAGCAGGGGTCAGAAAGGTGACAAACGTCTTTTTCGACCCGAAACCCTTCATTAACGTGTCCAACGGACGCTCACCAGCCGCCGGTCGATCTCCGCGTCGCTCCTCGAGCTCCCTTTCGGGCTGTACTCCGCGTAGCGCATCATTTCTCCGCCGTCCAAAGCTGACAATCCGCCGGTGGAGGACGCCATGTTTGTCCAGGCAAGTCTGCGAGTGCGCACGCTCGCTGACGAAGATGACGTAATACGCGTCACGCCCCATAAAAAAATATATTTTTTCCCCAAATGTAACGAGGAAGTTAATGTTCCTTTCAGTCGCTATTTTGTGAAAATGGTGGAAATAGACAATTTATGTTGAAGATACAAGACGGCAAAAATCAGCGTCTTCTAACAATGATCGTATTTATTTTCTTATGTTGTGTAGTCCATGTTCAAAATAAATGTAATTTATAATTAACTCACTGAATTTATAGGTAGTTTTTCCACGAGCGCAACTGGAAGCTCAGGATACGTCATGTTGCTTTTAGTACACATTTTGTCCACTAGATGAAGACATTGAATAGCAAACGCCACGTGATGACGACACATACTTCGCTCGAAACGATTTTTAAAGTTTTTCATTCTTTATTAAAAAAAATACGAATGTGTCAGACCTATGCAACACTTGTTAAGTATATATGCTGTTGATGATATTCTGCAATTTATAGATTTTGATACCAAACCCAATTACTCCATAAGAAACCGTGTGCGTGTGTGCGTGCATGAAATGTCCAATGTATTAAAAGTGATTATCGGGCTAATACACTTGTTGAGGATGTGATGAAAATTTCAATATCATGTACTTTGGAGTGAAAGCGAGGGTGGGGACAGTTTGCTGAGACCCCAAACTTCCCCTTAGTGGCCTCACCTTCATGTAACCTAGGGACCTCAAGAGCAGAAAAAAAGAGGGGCTGCTTTAGGACAGCTGAGAGAAATGTGCGCAGCCTTCTTCCCCTTCCTCGCAAACAAAAATGACAAAGAGACGTCTCCTCTCTTCCTTTCTATAAATGCATATTTGTCAATTTATATGATAAACCTGACAATCTGTGTGCCTATGTTTTCATGTATGTTTATCTATGTGTGTTTAAATCTGTGTGCCTTGTGTCTGAGTTTGTTTTTGTGTTCGTGTGTGTACCCCTTTGTATTCGTGTGTGAGTGAGTGTGCGTGTGTGTGTGTGTCTCAGATTGTGTGTAAAAATGTGTTCGTGTGCATTTTTGTCCCTCAGGCGTCCCCGGACAGAATGATGATCTTGTGTATTTGCAATGACATCCGGATGTAATTTCGTAGCAGCAGCCGCGTAGCTTTTTCTGTCTTTCTATTGTACTTCTGGTAATTGGATTTGAGATGGCTGCGAGTGTCATGTCTGAACGATAGCCCGCCCAACACAAACACACACAAAGATACACACGACACATGTGTCCTCACGTCGAGCTAAGTGGTGTACCGAGGCAAGTTTTTGACAACAAAATTAGTCAAAGACATCAAGTTTGTTTTCGCTTCTTCTGCTCCACACCGTGATGGATAGAAGGGAATAATGCATGCACATATTGCTGTGGATGCTCGCCCTCTTGGACTCACCTTCTGCATGCCGCTGGGTGTACCTCACTAAAATTTAATTCACAGAGCACAAAATAATCTACTGTTGGGCTATGTTTTTGTTGTTTTGTGGTTCACTTCTTTTTATACTTGTCAATAATATGTCCGTTAGTATCCTGCATGAATGCAGTACAAAAAGCGGGATTATTGGCATCACCAAAACAAACCTGGTGTTTTGAGGAGGGGCTGATGGGTTCGAGGGTTCGTCCGACGTCCACGCGCCGCGTTTCCACGGTGACGGAGCCCATGCACTGCTCCGCCACTTGAGTGGCGGGCGGCCATTGTGCGGCGTGCGCTCGCTTGCTCGCTTGGGGGGTCAGGGGGCCGAGAGAAGGTCACAGCCTGCGACAGATGAAAGCGTCTTTCAATGCCATCATCATTTAGTCATCAGCCGGACAAATAAAGATGGAGGATAATGAAGAGAACGCCGAGGCTCATTCACAAGAGGAAAAGCACTCAAAGCCTCAAAGCTTCTCTGGAAAAGGAAGAAGAAAAAAAAAACAAAAGACACACACACACACACACACACACACACACACACACACAGTTTTCTGAGGAGCAAACAGTACTTTAGGAAAGCTGACCTGAGCATGCTATTCACATAACTTATGAATTATTATGCTCATAAAGGCACATTTTATTTTTTTAAAGGGGAAGCCAAGTCAAAAAAAATATTTACAATATGTTCTATGTGGCCAGACTCGTCTAAACACAGTAATTTGATTCATACTACGTTTGTGGAATATAAACAGCAGGAAACCATTGGCCTTTGGCACTGTGATGCCATTTTTAGTAGACAGCAAGCGGCAAAATGGCTGCTGCATACAAATATATTTTTCTAAGACATTTTTTTGGGAGACGAAGTCCAAATATTATGAGGCAACAGCCAATTTTTTTTCAAGAAAAAAGTACTCTCTCTGTCGTCAATATATTCCCAGAAAAAAGGTAATAATTTTTGGGGGGCGTAAATAGTACTAAATTTTTTGGATGAATTGTAAACTTGTGAATAAAAGTCATGCTTGTTTGAGATTAAAAATAATATACATATTGACGAACAAGATCATTCTGATGATAGAGCTTCCAGGCGGAACATTTATGTTGTGTCGTTCGTTTCCATCCGGACGTCTTTATCAAAGGGGAAACTGTCAAATGACAAAATGGTAAACACTAAGGTGAGTCTACATTCATGTCTTTTTTCCTATCAACGATGATGCTGCAAAAACAACACGATAACCGTTTATATTCTCTCCTGTTAAACGTTGACGATGTTACGCAGTGGACACTTTTAGCTCGCATTGTTCGATGATGGGGACAGGCTAAGTCGTTAGCTGCCGGCTAACTCGCCCGGCTCGCGTCAAAGCCGAGAACAAGATTGAACCAAAAAAAATTCAGAGTGACCAAGGCGGACAAAAGTGTAACTTTATACGTTTATATGCGTGTGTGGATGTTAAGCGGATCTTTTTGACAGCTCGCTTCCCTTAGACGAGCATCCCGTGGAGCTTGTCAGTGACGTCACCGTAGTCATGTTGACTGAGGAAGAGATGCTGACTTTGGTGGAAGACAAACACGCAAGCGCACAACCAGCCGCTGCCTCCCACCATTGTTGACCTCATCCCTTCTCAGATAGAAATTAGATGCATTTTATTTTTATTCAACATCATAGCCTTAAAAGATTTCATTTCTTTCATTTCTTCTTGAAAATGTCATATTTAAGAGAAAATGTAATGTTTAGTACCTGCGGGGTCCAGGCGGTCGGGTCATTTTGTCACGTTGCGAGGTGGTGGTGGACCCCAAAAAGCAGGCAGGAGGTAGGAGCAGGGTGTACTTGACAAATTGTATTGAAACACAGAGAAAACTAAATTCTAAACAAAGTCCAAAGTATCAAACAAAAAACATGACTTAAGATAAAACATAACAAGCACCTAAACGTGACTGAAACAAACATGACAGCAGCCAACAAACAATGACCAGACAACAAGTAGTCAGCCAGGAGTCCTTTTATAGCCACTAATTACCTAACGACCAACAGGTGTGCAGCTGCAGGGAAAAGCCCCACAGTGCCACCTGTTGGTCACAAACCGAAACATGACATTTGTAGAGGGGAAAAAGTAAAAGTTAGCTCCTTTACGAGAAAAAAAATGTAATTTTTCAAAAAGGAAATTTTATGAATGCTTTTTTTAAGGGAAAAGGTTGCATTATTCCAAGAAAAAAAGGTAGATGTATTTGCATGGATACAGGACCTCGCCATCTCACACCTTTGCAAATCATTGATATCACTGATTTTTTTTATTTTTTTTTTTAAACAAAAAAAAAAAAAAATCTATGTGTGCGTGTGGTTTGACCTGGGATGAGCTAATGGCTTTTTAAATAATTCATACGGGCAGACAAAGAGCCTGAGCTGAGCTGGAAAATCAATCAGAGCGCAGATTAGAGGAAAGAAGAGCGCACAAGTGGACGGATGGAGAGCAGACCGATAGAAAGCGGATCCAAGTTGTGCGACAGTCTCCGTGCTGAATTAACTCACATGCACACGGCGATGAATAACTGCGCAGCTGTGTTTCCACTCGTACTTCTTCTTTACCGTTTCATCTTTTTCCTGTTTCAGACCATCTCCATTTGACGCCGCAAGATCCTCTAGCATCCACCCAAAGGCTTCAGGCAGGACTTAATCTCTGACGGCAGGATGAAGGCTCCATAAGGATCCCGGTCCAGATGTCGAGATGTTTGGACCTAACTAGCATAAGCTGTGAACGCAAGATGGAGGGCCTGATGCAGCTGGATGTGGTGGGTGACATCAGCCCAGCTCTGGAGGCCACGGAGGACTTCGCCGCCCCGGGTGGTCTCACTCCTCCCAAGAACCAGACCTGTGGGCAGCCCAAGAAGCTCCAGGAGACGTCGAGTGCCGCGCTGGCCAAACTGAGCTCCAGCGGCGTTTGGAGCCTCCTGGCCGGCCAGCAGCCTGAGGTGGGCCCGCTCGGGTTGGCCTGGGCCGACGGCCTGAGTGTGGTGGGCTTGCGGCCCGGCAAGAGGAGCCGGGCGCGATCCACCAATGACTTGGTGGCACATGGCAAGGAAGGGGCCGCTCCAGCCGCCAACGATACTACCACCGTCGCCTCGAACGCCGCCTTCAAGAAGGGACACAACAGGTCCAGATCCGACATCAACTACCGAACGGCCGATTACACCGACAACGGACTCCCCTCTGTGGACATCCTGAAGAACACAATCTTAAACCACCAGATGGAAGGTCTGTGCGCACCCATAACCGCCACCAGCATGTACAACAGAAATCTACACAGCCTTAGCTTAATGCTAACAATGTGAAATACAGTCGACGCAGGCTAGGGAAACTACCATCGAAATCGCTGTAGTTGCAGACATTTCAACTTACATTTGGATAGAAACGGTTTAGCAACACATGCAGACAGACAATAGCCACAGGCATACCTATACAGTATGCATTTCAATACAAATATTTTTGACAATGTAATTATATTTAATCGATAGTGAAAGCTGTTGTTAATATTTTGTCCTTCTCGCATATCTAAATGAGGCAGCCAAAATATTAGTTATAACATTTGTATTGCTTCAGTACTGCATTTATATTTTGGCACTGGCCCGTATATTTACACCAGTTTAATTGATCTGTGTGAAAATCAGCGGAAAGAGTCATTTTGCTTTTTTGGAAGGAATTTCACAATGAAAAAGGGGTCCCAAAGGTCCGATCCCTGGGATCGTACTTTTCTAAATGAGGCACCCAAAATATTAGGTACAACTTTTTATCGCTTCATATATTGATATTTTAGTCATGCTGCCGTCTACTTTAGAGTGTCGGATGTCTTTCTGTCCTCAGACGAGGCTGTAATGTTAGAAAATGATGATAACCTCAAATGACACACACACACACACACACACACACACACACACACGCAGACACACTCTCGAGAGGTCCGAGGGCGTGCGGGATAATAGCTGGTAATCCCGTCGGCAAATGGACTCAAATGAGGCGAGCGCGCAGGAAGCTAATTAAGGCGCCTCCCGACACAGGCGGGATTACGCCGTATTAGCATAAGCGTGAAAAGCTAGCGGCCCGTTTAGGTTGAAAAGAAGAGAAAGTGCAACGGTGGGGAGGCGGAGTTAATGGGACGGGGTGAGCCGCGACGGACGGGACAAAGCGCCGTGTTTGCTTTCCTCGTTAGCAACAGCTGGTTAGCATCAATACCATAAGCTCGCGTTCGCATTGGGTCCTCGTTCATGCCTTTCGCGCAGGGACCTGTCACTGAAGAGCTGGTGTTTATCCACCTCTACTTTACCATCGAACCCAGCGATTTTTCTTTCATTCCATAAAAGGAAAATTCAGTACAAGAATATTAAGTCAACCTTCCTGATAGCCATCCGAGCTCATTCATCACTCAAGCGCTGTCCCATCTAATGGATGGCGGCAGTTTTCCTTCTCAAAGCGCTCGGGCGTGACGGTGGCCAATCAGCTTGTCCGTGCCGCTGCTCATTTGCATATTCATCGAGGTTCCGTTAACACGCTGACAAAATGCGTTTTGATAAGATCGATGTGGTAGTTTTTCCTCCCTCTGATCGATTCCCCCCCACCGGGAAAACAAAGTCTGACGGGAGAAAATGGAATTAGCGGCAGCAGCGGCGGGCCATTGTTGTTGTTTTTAATAAATGGAGGCACCTTGACGTGCCTTGATTCATTGACATGCCAACACCTTTAAATTGCAATCAGCGTGAACATGGCGCTAATTGCAGCCTATTGGCGGCATTTTGCATTGAAGCTTTCACCATTTGCAAAGCGCTGCAAGGGCCCGTTCATGAAAAAAGAGCCTCTGTCAACTGTTTCAC